GTCATCTATATTATAGCATGAGTCAAAATTTCTTTCCTTTTTAAGGCTAAATAATATTCCATTGTATGAATGTACCATGTTTTGTTTATTCATTCATCTGTTGATAGACATTTGAGTTGCTTCCACTCCTTCACTATTGTGAATAATGCTCCTCTGACCATGGATGTACAAATGCCTTTTTGAGTCTTTGCTTTCAGTTCTCTTGGGTATATATCCAGAAGTGGAATTGTTGGCTAAATGGTTTAAATTTTTTAATATATGGGTGGATTAACTTTGTTAGTAGTTTGTTGAAATTTTTTCCATCTATATTCATTCATCAGGGATATTAATCTATAATTTTCTTGTGATGTTATTATCTGGCTTTGGTATCAGGATAGCACTGACCTCATGGGATGAGGTAAAAAGTATTTCCTCCTCTTTCATTTTTTGGAAGACTTTGAGAAGGGTTGGTGTTCTTTTTTATTAAAAATTTTTTTTTTCAGTTTTATTTATTTTTGCAAAAGCGGGAGAGTGTGAGCACACACGAGCAGTGGGAGGGGCAGGAAGAGAATCACAAGTAGGCTCTGCTGTCAGCACAGAGCCCAATGCGGGGCTTAGTCCCATGAACTACAGGACCATGACCTGAGCTGACATCAAGAGTTGGACACTCAATTGACTGAGCCACCCAGGTTGCTCCAGTGTTATTTTTTCTTTAAATGATTGGTAGAATTCACCAGTCAAATCATGTGGTCCTGGGCTTTTCTTTGCTGGGAGTTCTATGATTCCTGATCATAACTTCTTTGTGTTATGACTTCATTAAATTAACATTTATTAGGTGGAGCACAAGGTGCTGGTTGGTGAGCCATGGTTTGGTAACAGATCACAAGAGATGTTGAAACAAAAGTTTTTACTCACAGGTCCTAGAGGAATTACAGGACATGCCGTCAGGGGCCACATCAAGAGGTCAAGGCAGAGTACAGAGAGAGGCAGAACCTGGGTTAAAGTACCTTTATTAGGTAGGGTTTGTGGGTGGAGTGCTTTGGAGTTCCTGGGCTGGGGCTAGATTTGTCCATTCAAACAAAAAGAGCAGTGTTTTTGTGAACTCCATCAAGATTTTTATCCTGATGGGTAAGGGACACTTAAAGCATGCAGGCACTGGGAACCAGGAGAGACCATTGATCACAAGTCCTGTCATTAATTCACGTAAGCAAACTTACATTTACTTGTGTCTCTGTGGCCTGCTTGTTAGGACACGTGCTTCCCTTAGAGGTCTAGAGTCTGTTTAAGGTCCTTGCAAACAAAACAAAATGTGTTGACCACACAAACAAACAAAATGACCAAACAAAATGTGTTGCTGAGGTAGCAATTCCATGGAGTAGTTTAGCTAATCAACAACTTAACAACTTGTTGTAGGTTTGTTCAGATTTTCTATTTCTTCTTGAGCTATTTTGGGGAGTTTTTGTGTTTCTGCAATTTCCATTTTATCTAGGTTATCTGATTTATTGGCATACAATTGTTCACATCTTCTGTAATACTTTTTATTTCTATAAGCTTTGTAATGTTCCCATTTTCATTCCTGACTTAAGTGTGCTTTTGAGTCTTCTTTTGTTCTCTTAGTCTAAGCTTGAGGTTTGTCAATTTTGTTGATCTTTTCAAAGAACTAACTTTTGTTGATTTTCTCTATTGTTTTTGTATTCTCTATTTGGATCTCAGGTCTAATACTTATTATTTTTTCCCTTATTTTGGGCTTAGTTTGTTCTTTTTCTAGTGTTTTAAGGTGGAAGTTTAGGTTATCGATTTGAGCCCTTTATTACTTTTTTAAAAAAATGTAGATGTTCACCACTGTAAATTTCCCTCAGCACTTTTTCACTGTATTCTGCATATTTTGATATGTTGTATTTTCATTTTTAATCATCTCAAAATATTTAATAGTTTTCCTTGTGATTTGTTCTTTGACCCACTGGTTGTTTAAGAGTATGTTGCTTACTTTGCAGTTTGTGGATTTTCCAAATTTCCTTCTGTTATTGATTTCTAGTTTCATTCCGTTGTGGTCAGATAAGATACTTTGTATGATTTCAGTTTTTAGTAATTTACTGAGACTTGTTTTGTGGCTGAACATATGGTCTAGCTTGGAGAATGTTCCATATGCACTTGAGAAGAATGTCTATATGGTTGTGTTAGGTGGAACAATCTGTATATGTCCGTTAGGACTAGTTGATTGATAGTATTATTCATGTCTTCTGTTTCCTTGTTTATCTTTTGTATGGCTGTGCTATCTGTTGTTGAAAGTGGGATGTTGACATCTCCAGCTATTTCTCACCTTAGTTTTGTCAGTTTTTGCTTCATATTTTTTATTATATATTGTTAGGTACATATATGTTTATAATTACATCTTCCCAACCCTTTTTTCGTTATACAATGTCGTTGTCTCTTGTAACATTTTTTGTCTTAAAGTCTATTTGTCTGATATTAGTATAGACACTCCAGCTCTCTTTTGGTTATTGCTTACATGTAATATCTTTCTGTCCTTTTTATTATTTGTGTTTTTTTTTCTAAAGTGCAACTCCTGTTGGGGCGCCTGGGTGGCTCAATCAGTCTAGCGTCCGACGCTTGGTTTTGGCTCAAGTCATGCTCTCATGGTTCTTGGGTTCAAGCCCCGCATCAGGCTCTGCCCTGACAGTGCAGAACCTGCTTAGGATTCTCACTCCCTCCCCTCTCTCTGCCCCTCCTCCGCTCACACTTTCTCACTCAAAATAAAAATAAATAAACTTGAAAAAAAATGAAGTGCAACTCTTGTAGATATCATATTGTGGATCATTAAAACCAAATCCATTCTGCCAATCTCTGCTTTTTAATTGGAGCATTTAATACATTTACACTTAATTAATTATAGAGACAGAAGGACTTCTGATTTTCTATTTGTTTTCCTATATCTTGTTTCTCTATTTCTCCATTACTACCTTCTTTTGTGTTAGATGTTTTCTCATATAACATTTTTATTTCTTTCTCATTTCTCAGACAATGTATCTTTTAGTTATTTTCTAGTGGTTGCCCTGGGGATTACAATCAGGATTTTAATTTATGACCACATAGTTCAAATTAATACCAATTTAGTTTTAATATTACACAAAAACTTTTCTTCCAAATAGCTCTGTACCCCCACTTTTATGTTATTGTGACAAGTTACATCTTTATAATTGTTTGCCATCAAGAAAGGTTTACAATTGTATCATGTATTTTTCTTTTTCTTTTTTTTTTTAACGTTTATTCATTTTTTGAGAGAGAGAGAGAAAGAGAGAGAGAGAGAGCACAAACAGGGGAGGGGCAGAGAGAGAAGGAGACACAGAATCAGAAGCAGGCTCCAGGCTCTGAACTGTCAGCGCAGAGCCCACCACAGCACTTGAACTTATGACCATGAAATCCTGACCTGAGCTGAAGTCAGATAGTTAACCGACTGAGCAACCTAGGCGCCCCTATCATGTATTTTTCTAATTGATTAATTTTTAAGTGCTAAACCAGTATTGCATTCTTAGAATAAATTCAGTCAATAATGACATGTTATTGTTTTATCTTTATATTATTGGTTTAATTTGCTAATATTCTGCTAAGGATTTCTGTGTCTGTGTTCATGAGGGATTTTGGTCTATAATTGTGTGTGTATGTGTTTTTGTCAAGTTTTAGTATCAGTAATGCTGGTCTTGTAAGTTGGAAATTGTTCTCTTTTCCTGTATTTTATTTTATTTTAATTTTTTTTGTTAAGTTGGTGTTATTTTTTTTAAGTTTATTTATTTTGAGAGAGAACACATACATGTGAGTGAGTGAGAAAGGGAGAGAGAGAGAGAGAAAGAGAGAGAGAGAGAGAGAGAGAGAGAAAATCCCATGCAGGCCCCACACTCCCTGTGGAGCCTGACACAGGGCTCAAACTCATTAACTCTTGAACTGTTGAGATCATGATCTGAGCCAAAACCAAGAGTCAGACGCTTAACTGACTGAGCCACCCGGGAGCCCCAAATTGATGTTATTTCTTAAATGTTTGATAGAATTCATCAATGAAACCTTTTGTATCTAGATTTCTTTTTTTGTGGGAAGCTTTTCAATTATTTATTCACTTAAAAAATAGATACAGGATTGTTCAGATGTTTCATTTCCATTTTGGCATGTTGACTTTTTCTAGAGGGTATCTGATTCATTTTGTTAGCATAAAGTTGTTCATATTCTAATAACCTTCTACTGTCTCTGGCAATGTAACTTTAAAAAAATGCTTATATTAGCATTGTAGCAAACATTTATATAGTACTTATTACGTACTTTTCACTTTACAAATATTAACTTTTTTAATTTCCACAGGAGTTGGTGAGGTAGATAATGTTATCATTTCCATGAATGAAGAATTTCTATGAATGAAGAAACAAACCAAAGTTAAACTAAGAGAGTTAAGGTGCCTTGCTCAAGATTGCAGAGCTGCTGTATTAAGGGCTTAAATTGTAATCCAGGTGGTCTGGGTGCAGAGTCTTTTTCTTGACTACTGTTTACTTTGCATTTCTTAAGTGACAGGTACCTGTTCTGTTCTTCTTATGGAATTCTGCTGTGTTCTCTTTAGAAATCATCCTTTCTTCTACCACCTTTATTTCACTAAGTAGAAATGTTTCTGGTATTCCTAATTAGAACTTGGAATGGCTTTTTCCTCCATAAAAACATTATATATGATGGCTACACATTACTTGAAATATTATTGTTAATACTCTTCTTCAGTCACATAATATGTTAAAAAGACTTCTGGGACTTCCCTGGGAAGTTCACCACAATCTAATGTGAAATATGACTTCTGTGGGAAAATACTAGAAGATACTTATTTTAAATTCACTTACCTTTTAAGTATGGGAATTGTACTTTTTGAAATAACAATTTGAATTTACTGAGGTGTTTCTAAATCATAATTTTTAGAAGACAGACATTAAGATTAATTTTTACACATATTTTATTGTTTTGCTTTCATTAATTTGTTGATTAATGTCTTTCAGGGATATTCAATTGCTCAGAAGAATATTCTTCTTCAGGTGGATCAGAACTGTGTTCGCAATTCTTATGACGTCTTCTCTTTGCTGCGGTAAGAAACTTCTCAAACTGCCTGCATTTTCTAAAGAATGTTCCTCATTTTGAGTTTGTGACATTTCTGTGTGAGGAAATGTATGGGAGCTTTAGAAGTTGTTATTCAGGCTTAGCATTTTTTTGTGAGAGCTTCATAAATTTTGTAGCTACAGTGATTTAAGTTTATCTGTTTCTCAAAGCCTTTGGAAAGCCATTTCCTTTCTCTGGACAGTGGGAGAGAATGATTGGAAGCCAGTGATCTCAAAACAGGGACATGAGCTGTTTTCCGGTTTTCTGTACTATAAAGAGCAGCAACCAGAGGTACAGAATTTAGACTTATCAAAATCTTAACAACTACAACATTACTAAAAAAGCCCTCCAATAGCCCCAGACATGGCTTAGATCTTTGACCTGCTGTTCATCTTAAAAGAATCATATTTGGCAAGGCACAGGAGCTTTGCATGAATCTCAGGCTCAGAGGCTTAACTAAATGCCTTAACTCTATATTTTCATAATGTCTGGGCTTAATTTTGAAAATTTTCTAAATTTGTTTTTAATTTTCAAAGTGGTAGATCATCAAGGACATTTTCCCAGGAGGCAGGCAACCAAAATAAATGCAGTTCAAAATAAAGGTAACAGTGACATTCAGCCTATGTTCACCCCACTTAGACAGATGGTTCATTGAAATTTGATTTTGGCAGCAATTTTCTAATGTTTACATAACACATCATAAATTTCAGACCATTAGACATCCTCAGTATATCTACTAGAGGAAGAGTCCAGAAGGATGGTTGGACTCTTGTCCAATTGGATGATTGTTTATTTTATAAACATTATGGAATGGGCCTTTCCTTTGCAAATCTTGAATCTTATTATACATGATGATAAAGTTTGGTCACATGCCTGTGTAAATTGCTCTTAAGAGACCATGATTTCAACTATAGTGACCACAAGCATTTGATGACTTTTGATTCTTATCTGGAAAGTACTTCCCCTTTGACTTCTTAGGATATGTAAGAAAATGGACAGGATTGGTAACTGGATGGAAAGCAGGAGGTGTCAAAATATATAACTCAGGGGCGCCTGGGTGGCGCAGTCGGTTAAGCGTCCGACTTCAGCCAGGTCACGATCTCACGGTCTGTGAGTTCGAGCCCCGCGTCAGGCTCTGGGCTGATGGCTCAGAGCCTGGAGCCAGCTTCCGATTCTGTGTCTCCCTCTCTCTCTGCCCCTCCCCCGTTCATGCTCTGTCTCTCTCTGTCCCAAAAATAAATAAACGTTGAAAAAAAATTAAAAAAAAAATATATATAACTCATAGTTTTGAGCCTATTCGGTTTGGGAGTACATTGAGTTTTAAGTATTAAAAAGAAGAATGTACAGAAATAGTTTGAAATTTGGGTAAGCCACTGATATTTCTTGACCTGCCTTTCTCAGTGAAATGAGGGTATGGATATTACTGTTTTAAAGATACTTTCCAAGTGTGAGATGGTGTGATCTTATTAGAGAAATCCAGAGAATTAAAAGAAAAAGAAATATGAAGTCTGTGAAAAAAGGAGGATTTGGGCAAGGCGGCATCATAGAAACTAAGAGAATAGAGATTCAGGCAGTATTGAACGCTCTCTAATGGGATAGGAAAATAAGAACTGAAGAAATACTGTAGGATCTTGGGAAGCAGCATGGTTTAACAGAGAATGCTTTGGTTAATTTGACCCTGACTTTAGTTATCCCTGGTTTATCTGAATTCATTTAACTTCTCGGATTCTTCTAAAAGGTGGGAAGCAGCAATGTTATAAATTTGTGTAATTTATACGCATTCCCACAGTTATTCTCTTACTGTCTTAGAAGCTTTTTGTGTTCAGACATCAAGGATCAGCCCTTGTCTTCAGTGTAGAAGCTGAGGCCAAGAGGTGTTAAATGATTAATCTGAGAGCACGCAGCAAGTAAGAGCTAGACTAGAAGTTGGTGTGAAGGTTTTCCGGCAAGCAAGTTTTGCAGATCCTTTTCAGAGTCTTACGTTTCTAGATTGGTGGTTGTTAAGGTTGTTATAAGGTGCACATGGCATAATGACAGGGAAATTTTTTTGAAAATCACAGAGCCCACCATGAATTCAAAATCATCAGATGCATTTGGTAGTTAGTTGCTCATTTATTTAACATTGATTCTTGCAATGATAATATGTCTTAGGGGTTTTATTTCTAAGATGCTTTCCAGATTCCTCAGGGGTGTCAGCAGTTTGAAATGCCTTCTTAGCAGTGGCCTTCTCATTACCTCTGTGTAAATCATTTATAGCTGGTAACATAGATGTATTCTTTTGAATCAGGTCAAGCGCCTGTGTATCAACCAAATTACCTGAGCCCGGAGAGTTACTCTGGAACTAGAAACTTTACATTGTACTTGTCAACATTAAGGAGTAAGATGGAACTTTTTCTGATAATTCTCTTAGACATTAGTAAGAGTAAACATCATTTATCTGCTAAATTAAAACTTCTTTTTTTCTCATAGTTCTTGCCATGATTTGTGTAGAGTGCTTTCTGGGAAATTTAATTTTGTGCTGATTAGCTTTGTTCAGTTTCCCTTCTTTTACTCAGTCAACATTGGTGATGGAGTAATTTTTAAAAGTAATATGTTTTTCTTTCCCTGATGCCTTTTTTTGGTGTATGAAATTGTTACTTCTTGATCAGTAATTTTATGTGAAAACACAGAGTCTGAATTCTTTAATGTCACTTAACTTCACAAAATTCTCAGTGTCATTTGGTGTCAGGACTAAACCCAGATCTCTTGATTGTTTTTTGAGAGTATATTCTAGTTAATGATTTTCATTATGTTGTTCTGCCACTAGGATGCCTATATTCCTTCCAGTTTTTAAATGTGAATGCCTCGGAAAAATAGGAAATCTTGACTAAAGGCAAGGATTTTGCAGCACCTACAACCAGAGCATTAGAACCCCACGTCAGATGTGTTGTGACATTTCGTAGGAAGACAGTGACCTGAGGTTTTATTCAGAGTTTTCCTCCCGTACTTAAAAACGTAGGCTAATTTCAGTGTTACCAAAGTAATAGCAGCTCTTTCCAATTTACGTGCAGTGTGTGTGATGGTAATTAAATTTGTGCTTCTCTAACCCTTGGAAATGCCTGGATTAAGTGTTCCACTTACTTAGGAGCCACTTTACTCTTTACATTCGATACCTTAAATTAGGATGTTCACCACAAGGTGTCAATGTTGCTCTTTGACTGGCACTTGAAATTTCATTTATTTTATGGTTTTGAACTGAGACAAGTTGGATTATAAAGTACAAGTGAGCATTTATTTTTAGAAGTTAACTTTTTTTCCTCTATTATTCCTTCTAGGTTAAATAGTTCCTAGGCTTGTTGGATAACTTTCTTCTCTTCATTCTGTTGATTTTTCAAATCCTGTTGGTGATATGGAGTTATTGAAAGATTAGAAGGAGAAGGAGTGATGTGGTTGGTGTGCAATTGAGATCTCTAGCTGTGGGGACCATGTGGGATCAGCGGGATGAGGCTGGAAGTGGGAGACAGCTGTAATCCAGTGTGTTCTCTGAGACTGAAAGATTACTTTTGATTTTTAAAAACTCATTTTTTTTTTGTTCCTTTCATGCTTCCTCAAAAAAGGTAGCTCTACTGTAGTGAGATAATCTTGGTGTTCTTCTAGTAGTTTTTATTGGCCCTCCCTCTTCTTGACATGACCTGCTTTTGCCAGTTTAAGAAGTGGAAGTATGGTGAAGGCTCATGGGCCCTCCACCTTCGTTCCAGTCCTAATAGTGTCGTAGGCCCATAACTGGATGCAAACCTTTGGGCAGATTACTTCGGCATGCCTCAAACCACTGGTGTAAAATGGCAATATTTTTCTCATAGGGATATCATGAGAATTAAATAAGGTAAAAGACGTAAAAGGTCCTAAGACAGTACTGACATAGAGTAGACATTCAATACAGAATAGTTTTCATTTTCCCCTTTCCTTCCCCCATCTTGGAATTCGCTTTCTTCTCAGTGCCAGTGCTCTGTTTTTATATTAGCATTAACTTTTTCAATCTTCAACATAATTTCTCTTTCTTTTCTTGCCATTCTAATGTCTACCACCCAACCTCTGCTTTTAGGGTTCCTTTTATAAATCCTGAACAATCACAATAAAATTATTTAACGGGTTTATGTCTTTTCTCCCCAGCAACATTGAAAACTTCTTAAAGGAAGGGATTATTTCATATGGCTATATTTTGTTCTCTCTTTCGGTCTTACTGACAATTCGTGGTCATGTTGGAGTTCCCATGGATGCTGTTGTGACCCTGGAGACTTAGGTCCTGTGGATCCTATGGCTCTTCTGCTTTACTCTTTCTCCCTGAGTGCTCTCTTCCATGACTACAGCTGTACCCAGCACACCCTCATGTTAGTAACTCTCAAATCTGTACCTCTAGTTCCTTCCCCTCTTTTGGATTTCTGGTCTGTATTTTCTTTTTTTTTTTTTTTTTTAAATTTTTTTTTTCAACGTTTATTTATTTTTGGGACAGAGAGAGACAGAGCATGAACGGGCGAGGGGCAGAGAGAGAGGGAGACACAGAATCGGAAACAGGCTCCAGGCTCTGAGCCATCAGCCCAGAGCCCGACGCGGGGCTCGAACTCACGGACCGCGAGATCGTGACCTGGCTGAAGTCGGACGCTGAACCGACTGCGCCACCCAGGCGCCCCTGGTCTGTATTTTCTAGTGACCCTTAGACATTTATACTCTCATGTTCTGTAGGAATCTCAGCCCTAACGTGTCCAGAGCTACACTCATTGGTGTAATACTTCCTTTTCTTTTCGCTGGATGTCTGATGTCCTATATATCATCATCTCAGGCATCCAAGGAACATATCCCTCTTTATTCCCATCTCTATTTTCTGGGACTGTTTCCTGACCTCCCAGCTAGTCTCCCTACTACCAGTTTTTCCTGCATGCGATTGGCTGCTGTTATTTATTGAACAGTTACTTTCTGCCAGGAACTTTTCTCAGTGCTTAGCATTAATTAACT